TATTCTGGCAATTTGCACCACTTTCAAAGAAATATTATTTTGTATTAATATATATGTTGAAAAATTATTTTATTTGCACCAATGAAAACTAGACTTGAATACAAATATAAGAATATAAGGCACTCCATCTAGTTCTATTTGTACAATTTATAGCAAATTTTCAAAGTTGACTGATAGAAACTGTTTTGGACATAATCTACTGTCCTATTTTCTGACCTATCACTTATAAGTCAATGTTTGTTTGAAACATATATACAAATGAAATGCACTCACCTTTGCCTCACTTCTAGTCCAATTTCTTTACTCACTTGTTTTTCTTTTTTCCTTTCAAATCACTTGGATCGTAAGAATTATCATGATCTGTATGACATTGCTTTTATAGCACAATATTTAAACTATATGTTAATACTTATACTAACATACATAATCTAATTCAAATTCTATAAAACATAAGTCGATATAAAACTAATTTATTCTTCTATAATAACTTCAAACTTTCTAAAATAAATATTTAATTCCACAAATACTCATTCTAATCATCAACCTTCCAGCTTTAATGACTTTACAATTAAATCACTATTCATGAATTACCTTTAGAATTCATATAAACTTTTCCATTTATTTCTAAATGATTCTTCATCATTCTCATTTATTCTAATTAAAACTTTAGATTTTCCAGCATGTATATAACATCCTCAATCCAATACTTTAACTTTTGAATTCTTGTAATTTCATCCTTAACTTTCCCTAACCTTTCTTGAATTCAACAATTAATTTACTAACTTAAAATCTAATCCCAAAAATCACTTAAACTTGAAAACCAACACTTAACTAATAATTTCCAGCATAGAACCTTAATTAATGTTTTTCTTCAAGATTTGTTTACAAATCCTTCACAATTTCAAAAGTTACAAATAAATCTGTAGCTTTCAACCAAACTCCATTTTAGTCCAAACTTGATTTCAAACACACCAAATTACCTTTATCATCATTCTAAGCCTTTATGAAAGTTTTGAGAATTTTTCCAATTGTTTTCCCCTTTGGCCGAATAGTTTTATTCTTTACAAAATAATCCCTAAACTTGATTCAAGCTCAATTTCATCATCCACACAACATTTGCAACCAATTCAACTCCTTTCCATATCAAATATAAATCAAATACAACATTTTCCTAAACATAATCCTATGGTAGAACCATATATATAGTCTTACACTTGATTTTTAACAACTTTCATGCTTGATTTCAACTTCACAACACTTCTAGCATCAATAATCAACCTTTAATAATAAAAATCACACTTCCCCTTCATCCACATCTCACCAACTTAAACATAAAACATGAAGATTTTTATGCCAAATGAAAGAGAATCTCATGTAGGTTATTTTATCCTTAATAACCTACCATAAAATCTTAATGAAAATGGACCAAAAACTAAAAAGAAAACTCTCTCACTATAGAACTCACGGCTGAAAGAAGAAGAAATTAAATTTTTTCTTCAATTTTCTTGAAATTATCCCTTAATACACATGGCATCATCTAATATAAATAAATTTTAAATTCATTTAATCCACTTTACCATTTTGTCCTTAATAAAATTTAATAATTTCATCCATGCCACTCCATGGAATCATCCCTTTCATCATCAAATCCATAAAAACACATCTCAATTATGATTTTACACTTCTATCATTGAAAGTTTCAAAACATGCAGTTTAGTCACTAAATTTCTTTAATTCGGCTAAATAGAGAAAATTATCCAAATACATTGATCCATAATAATTTTCACTGTTCTAAAATATGGAAACAATATTTACAACCTCTATTTAGCATCTTCCAAATTTTCATGAAATTCTGATTTGATCCGATTATCTGATTTCTTGCCATACTTTACTGCTCAATTAATTCTTGCACAAATTCTGGATCAAAATAACGAATTTCACATAAAATCCACTCTTAAGGATGAACTATATATTTATGGAATAAAAATTCTTTTTGGGAAAATTACCATCTTGGTCCTTAAACTTTTCCCAACTTTATACTATGTCACTAAATTTTCAAAACTTTCATTTTAGTCACTAACAAAAAGTTGGGATATGGCACCTTATATCATGGGTTACTGTTCAGATCAACACTCGAACCACTTAGCATTGTGGCCTTTGTTGATGTAGACTGGGGGAGTTGTGCAAATGATCGACGCTTGACCATTGGTTATTGTGCTTTCCTTGGTTTAAATGTCGTAAAATGGTGCTTTAGGAAACAAAATTCAGTGTCTCTCGCTCTACTACAAACACTGAATATTGTAGTATTACGGATGCAACATCAGAGGTCACATGGTAACAAACTTTTCTTCATGATCTTGAAATCACATCTACTGCCACATCGACAATTTGGTGTGAAAACACCAGTGTTGTTGCTATTAGTGCCAACCCGATGTTTCGTGCACGTTTGAAGCATGTTGCGTTGGAGGTAGGGATAGGCATGGGTTGGGTTTGGGTCGGGTTTCGGCCGACCTGACCCGACCCGAAAAATATATACCCTCCGCCCGTCCCGACTTTTTGAGATAAAATCTGAACCTGAACCGACCCGAAACAATAAAAATATTGTAATTATTGTAATTATTCATAAATATATAAGGTAAAATTATATTTTTTTGGTCGATTCGGGTCGGGTATTTTTCACCCTAAACCCGAACCCGACTCCGACTCAACCCAAACAACACCTTTAAAAAATCCGACCCAAACCCGATTTTTTTAAAAAACAACCCGACCCGATCGGGTTGGGTCGGGTCGGAACCCGTCGGGTTCGGGTCCTATGCCCATCCCTAGTTGGAGGTGCACTTTGTTTGGGAAAAGGTTGTTGATGGTTCGCTTCAAGTTAACTATGTTCAAACCACAGAGCAAGTTGTCGATGGGTTCATTAAACCCCTTCCTAAACAATTATTAATTGTGTTTCGAACAAAGGTGGATGTCACTGGCGACATTGAAGAAGGAAGAAAAAGTCGGGAGAATATTAGACTATGAAGACATGACCTGAAAAATAATGTTGGTTAGCAAGCTGTTAAAAGATGCTGATGACTCAGTAGTTTGTTAGGGTTTGTTATGTTGAAATAAACAAGTAATACAATGTTTTCTTGAATTCTTATCTCATCATATTATCTAATACAACGAGCCGTTTTAGAGATTATTAAAGAGTAGCGAGTGAACCAAAATAAACTTTCATGTTGCTTCCAAAATAGATATAAATATGGATGACAAAATGAAATCTAACCATTGAAATACCACTGACAATCGTAAATCAGATATGGATGACAAAAGGATCTCAACACAATCGCATATCTACCATAGAGGTAGACAAACAACGTACCATAAAGCAGAGGAAACGTACCATAAGAGCATAGTTAAAACATGCCAAAAGGATATATGAACGTGCATAAAATATCTGAAAAATAAGAAGTCAAACAAATTTTTTATTAAAAAATTAAAATAAAAACTAAATAAAAATAACAAACTACTATTGGATATGAGAAAACAACCATAAAAATGGACACCAAAAATATGCAACGAGCACCAAGACTGATGTTGATGCTAATGCATATTTTTTTTACAATATCAATTGTTTTTATTGTTTTATATGAATAGTTGGTTGTACTCAATTAATTCATTCGAATTTATGTCCTCTTGCATGTTATAATAATAATGGTAAACTACACAAATGATCACTTTCATTTTAGTTTTATAAACTTATGATCACTAGATTCAAAACACATAATATATAATCACTTTCGTTTCATATTAATTAAGATGTGGTCACTAAGACATTAGCTGCCGAGAGTTTGATGACGTGACATGTTAGTAAAAAGGTTTAATTTTTTATTTGGACCCTTAAATTTTAGATAAATTGCTAACCATGAGTCTTTTTATAAACACAAAATAGTTCAAGGATAAAATATCAATTTACCCCCTTTTTTCATTTATTTTCTTCCCCAAACCTATCTTCTCCGCCACTTCGCCTACTTCCCCAGCAAAGCAATATCGTTGAGTTTAGGGGCCATTCAAGCCTTTTTCATAACTCGGTAAATTTCGATGGCACTGAACACTTTTTCAAAATTAATTTAAACAATCATCAAAGTTCCACTTACAATAAAAAAAGAAAAAATAAATCTTACTTTGAAACAGTCACTTGATTAAATCTTTTTACTAATATGTCTCACATCTTTATTAAAACGAAACGAAAGTGGTCATATATTATGTTTTTTAAACCCAGTAACCATAAGTTTATAAAACTCAAACGAAAGTGACCATTTGTGTTGTTTACCCTAACAATAATGCGTCAATCGAGCTAAAGACTTAATTAGCCTTAAATAACTTGATTTTAATTTTTTTTAAATTGTTTATTTTGTTAAATATAATCCAATATTGCATAAGTTGCATATAAAACGAAACTCATTCGAAGAGAAACTTAAAAAAAAAAGCATAGGAAATTGGGAAGAGTTTGAAATATCATGTTAACGTTAGCGATGAAGTTACAAAAGAGTTTGTGAGACTCAAAGGTCTATAGAAAATGATCTTTTCGTGATAAAAATTTTGTTTTCGAATTTGATTCTTTTATAGTCTTGATGTGATCATGTGCATTTTGGGTTTTTAAGTTGTGTTGTGCATATTTAATTTAAATATAGGTCTCAATGTACTTTTCAAATTTAAATTTTGGTATAAGTTGATATGACTACATGATAAGGACAAAATATAATATTTTAAAGAACAAAAACTAAATCTACAACTAATCATAATACAAGGGCTACCAATAGAATTTAAATTGTATATCGATCAAATCAAAGCAAAGACTATATCAGTAACTTATTCATAGTTTAAGGAGTAATAAATTGAATTTGAATAATTTTAAATAACAAAACGAAGTAAGAATTTGATAATTCCATCAAATCGTATAGAATTACATTGTACGATAAGAATCCATTTACCTACAAAAAGAAAAATAAATCGATCCTTTTTTAGTAATTTTTTTATCGATCAAAGTAAAACCTTCCCTCATAAATGATCTTTCCTAGTAACCTTCAAACATATTTGCATTTCCCTTGACCTGCATAAAATAAACATGAAATTTAAGTATAAGGACTAAATAACAAATTCAAACATAGTAGGGGATGAAAACCAAAATTTGACCCAAAATGCTTTTTGTTAAACTACATATTTAGTACCCCAACTATCACTTTTATTTCAATTTGTTCACCTAATTATATTTTTTAAAATCATACTTAACGTTGTATTTTGGTTTCATTTTGGTCATCCATCATTAAAAAATCAATGGAACTACTGGTGTGACATTTTCTATTATTTTCAATGATAATGAGACATTACCTTGTGGTTACATGTCAGCATCATGATTAATGTTTTAGTGGTGGGCAATCAAAATGAAACGAAACTAAACATTAGATATGATTATGGAAAGATATAGTTGGGTGACCAAAATAGAATAAAAGTGATAGTTGAGGTACTAAACTAGTAGTTTACCCTTTTTAATCTTACTTGGATCCTTGGTGGTTGTCTGAGCAGTACTACTAACATCACAGGCGCTATCAATTCCTCCTTTCCTCCGATGGTAAGAACTCATGGCGAATGTTGCACAAGACCTGACGGTGGGCGGTTCGGCACAAACGGCACCATGTTGGATCGAACCGTAATCGACACCTCGACCCCGTGTCCACTCGAGGTTTTTCTGCAATTTAGCGTCGCCAACTGCATCTTTCGGCACGCACAACTTCTTTCCCATATTATTTATACACCTTCGAATTACAAAACGCTGCTCAATAACTTCATGAATCCAATTTTATTGTTTTATTTTATTATTTTATTGCAATTTTATTTTGATATTTTGATCTTATTTTGGGTGGTAATTAATGTTTGTATATATAGGGAAGATGGATCAACCATGGAAAAGTAGTTTATGATCAATATTTTGACACATGGGAAGCTTTGAGAATTTATATCTTCATCCATTAATGCACCCTAAGTTTTAGGGCAAGTATAACTAAAATTTAATTACTTTAATGTATTTTTCGTAAAATACTATATCTTTATCGTATTAAAGAAAAGTATATAAATTATATAAAAATATTAGGATAAACTAAACATTTAGTAAGATTTTATATCTTAATTGATTAATTTATAATATATTTGTTAATAGTATTCTTGTAACTAGTTATTAATATTGTTATTTGTTTATTGCAAATATTATGACTAGGAGGATATTGAGTGATTTGTGGATTATTCTAGATCCTCAAGAGGAGGAAAAAACAAATAATGAAGAAACGATTGGTGGTGGATCTTCGGAAGTTCCGAATACAATTGGAACTGTAGAAATTGAAGGTAATGTTTGATACTATATTTTAAATGGTGGTTGATTTTTTTATTGACTTGATTTTGAAAACTTACACTGAATTATTTCTTATGCAGCTGAAAATGGTCAAAGGCGCAAGACTAGAATTGCACGATAATGATGAAATTATACGAGCTTTCTACTAGACACTGTGTCAAGTTTCGAGGAATGATGTCGGCCAACCTATTGGGACATAAGCATGTGTTCTAGCTGGTTACATAGGTGTGATTGTGATCAAAGCTAATATTCTACCAATCAATTATCACTCATGGCATGAGATGCCAAATAGTAACAAAAACCAGGCTCTGGATTGTATTAAGGTAATACTTTCATTGTAATAGATAATTCATTACAGATCATTACTATTTTATATTTACTTTTATCACTTGTGTTATTTGTAGGATAAATTTACTTTAGAGGTCTCATATGAATATTTGAAGTAGACATTAGAAAAGAAATGGAGAGACCACAAGATTTCATTGAAAAAGAAATATTTTAAGAATGATCTCAGCCTAGAACAAAAGCTGCAAAATTTCCCACCTAGAATGCTTAGGTGGCAATAGGAAGATGCAGTCAAGTTTTAGAATTCAAAGAAATGAGTATGATGAACTTTAAAAAAATAATATTATATCAATATAATTTTCATTTTATGAGTCATTTAAATTTCAAATTGTAGGATCGAGAGCACACTGGTATTGTTAGCAGACAACAACAAAAGTTTACTTACACAACTAGATCAAAGAGCTTTGTCAGTGTAGCTCATCATATAGTAATGAACATTTTTCCTATTATTTATTAATTTTTTAAGTACTAATTTACGTTCTATATTGTAGGAGACTATGTCCGGAAATAGAGTTAGATGAAAACCTCTTCAAGCTGATACATACAAAAAAAGATGGCTCTCATATGGCTCCTGAAGCTGCACAAATTATGATATATTTATTAAACATACAAATTTGAATTATGTTGTATTTATAGTATATCATTTTTATTTCAAATAACGTTTGAATTTATTCTGAGTTCTTAATTCTTTCTTAGGAAAAACTGTGTGATAAAATGATAGAGTATAAAGCTACAACTTCATCTCATGGTTCCATTAATGTGGACGAGATTGAAAAACAAGTTTTTGCAAATGTTTTTGGTCCCGAAAGATATGGTAGAGTTCGCTGTCAGGGATTATTTGTTACCCCATCCAAATATTTTGGATCTAGTTCATCTCATTACACACCATCACAGGGCCAATCTACTCAATCAGAAATTATCCGATTGAAAAAGTAGTTGACTGAAGTGGAAGAAAAATTTGCTCAAATAAAAGTCGAAGTGGAAGCGATAAAAGAAGAAAGAAAAATACGAGAAATAGAGAGGGAAACAATATATCAGGCACAATATAATGAACTCCAGAAACACCTTGAAGCATATGATGGAGCAATTTCAACCCTGAAATTTACCACCTTAGCTGCTTTAGTAGGTTTATTCTCTATTTATTCTAGTGTTTTAACTATATTACATTTCACTTGAATCTTGAACTACATTACTTTAATGTTTGTAAACATCAATTTATTCATGTTGTGAAATATTTTTATGTAATACCCTAAACATCGAGTCAGTGATTAAAGTGTAAGAATTTAATATTTGGTTGTTTAATTTGAATAAATTGAAAAGTTCAAGGACTGATTTTAGAAAATTTTGTCTAAGACTTTATATCAAAGATTGAAGATTGGAAGGGCATTATGGTCTTTTAGCAGGAAATGAATTTAAAATTCATTTCTAAAGGATATTTAACATGTGAGGATTAAAAAAAGGCAAGAATTATCTGGAAGCTTTGATTATCTTCTCTTATTTTTCTTCTTCCACCGTAAACCCCATTTTAAAGGTGAGTTCCTTTAAAGTTGGTTATTCCTTTCATTTTTTGGTTGGTTTTGAAGCCTTGAGTGGTATAGAAATTTAAGGAAAGCTTTAGGATGAATAAAAACAAAGAGTGGGTTAATTAAGGATGAATTAGTAAAATGATTTTTTAATTGAATGGATGAAATTTGGTTAGTAATTGGATTCTAAAAGCATATTTGACTTGTCAATGGCGTGAATAGAAATTTTAAGTCTTAGAAATGATTGAGAAAATGTTTGAATATTTGGTATGATTTTTAGTTTTAAGTGTTCCATAGAGAATTTGGAAGTTAAAAGGTAATTAATGGATATAAGTTAGATGTGATAAATGTTAGTAAGTTGAAGGGTTTGATTGGAGCTAAAAGTATAAGATTTAGGTGAAGTGTGAGTAAAATTCGAAGTGAAAGAGGTAAAATATGGGTAAAGGTATCGGTACTGGAAGAACATTATTGATACTATAGGGTTAAATTGAAAGAAATGGTATGAATCGTATGAACAATATCGATACTAATTGAAGTAGTATCGATACTGATGTGGAGGTATCGATACCAAGAGTAAGGTATCGATACTGTAATTGAAAATGGAATTCCAGAATGCCAAAATGGTATTGATACTAAAGTGGGTATCGATACCACATAAGAGAAGTATCCGTATTGTATGAGGGGTACCGCTACTATTCAGTCTGAAAAGTATATTATAAGTTTTCGTTCCGTTTATGTAAGTGTTAATTGGTTATCCATTAATGGAAATTTGGTATTAATATTGGACATATTGATGTGTAGATTTGGATCGTAAGTGTACCCAAAAATTCAACATAGTACGAGATTGAACGAAAGAAAAAGGATTTCGTTAGGACTTTTGTGAGGTAAATGTAAGTGCAATTTATTATTTTATATTAGATATGAGGACAGCTTACGACAACCCAACCTTAAAAGTTTTTGATCAAAAACATTTTTATTTATTTTATTTTATGCAATATTTTTATGATGCTTTATATAAATTGTATTTCCAAAGTATTGTTTGATTTTATTAACATATGAATGTGTTCCATGTGAAAGTGTTTTATATGAATGTGTTCTACGTGAAAATGTTATACGTGGATAAAAGACATTGGAATAAAATAATGAAAAACTAATTATAAATCTAAAGCCCAAAGTATATGTATGAGAATTGGAGGTATAGTTAGCATGCCAAGAGTCGAGGGTTCTACGCGGTCCTTCGAGACAAATTTCTATTTGGTCCTTCGGGAAAAACCTATGTGTCACTTCGATGCATATTCTACGTGGCACTTCGGTGCAAATTATATGTACTCAGATACCTTGAGTTCTTAGTAATATACATTGGGTTAATATAATAAAGTGATATAAATTGAATAATGAGTAACAATATACATTATTTTCATGAAATGTATCTTGATTTCAATATGAAATGTTTTATATGGATTGAATAAGCAAGTGTTTTTACATGTTTTGTTATACTCATTATTGCCTCACTAAGTCAACGACTTAGTGTGTGATTGTTTCACATGTAGGTTCAAAGAGATCAGGAGCTTAAGCTAGGAAGGGACAACATACGCTTGAAAAAGATCAGATCAGAACAATTTAAACTGTAGGCTTCTTGTTATTTTGTAAATTTGTTGGCATGCATCACAAAGTTTTAAATTGTAATGCTCTGATCAGTTTTGTAATCACACTATTTTACATTTATGTAAATTATCAAGTATTTACTTTCATTGTGAATTATGAATTTTCAATAGTAACTTTTTTATAAGGGTTTTACCACTTAAATACCGGTAAACTTTTAAATTTTCAATGAGTTTTAAAAGATTCAAAGTTTTGAAAAGTCAATGTAACACCTCGAATTTGTATCCGAGTCGGGTACTGTTGAAGAATCAGGAAAAGTAAACGAAAGAACACAATAATTTTAACGAGGTTCTGTAATGTGCTTACGTCCTCGGTGCCTAGGCGGCGCTAGAAATTTTATTCAATGTCTCATAGGTTTAGGTTACATCTCTATTTATAATAGAAAACCCTAGTACATAATATTCATCCCTTTTCCTCTTTACCGGTATATTTATGAGCCATACCTTACAAATCTCCACCTTGGCGAATATCCTAACCTTTAGGAAACATTCAATGTGGGTTGAGTTACCTTACTTCTTTAACAACTCGAAACATTCAACAAGTCCAAGCAATGCTTGAACTTGTCTGTCGTAACAGTATTAGTGAACATATCAGCGGCATTCTCATCAGTATGTACCTTCTGAAACAAAACCTCTCCAGATGCAACCAACTCTCTGATCTTGTGAAAACGTACATCAATGTGCTTAGTTCTAGCACGATATACCTGATTTTTAGCCAAGTGAATAGCACTTTTATTATCGCAAAGAAAATGAAATCCACCTTGCTGAACACCCAACTCATTCACTAAACCAGTGAGCCATAAAGCTTCTTTTGCAGCTTCAGCCTCTGCCATGTATTCAACTTCAGTTGTAGATA